TGTCTCACGTGGAGCAAGCCTGTCTTCGCGTGCGAGAAGGGAAGACCGAAGGCGAGACACCTGCGCCTGCCCAACTAGCTGGAGATGGTATGTCAAGATCGGGGTTGCAGTCAGGTTATGTTTTCGGGTGAGGTTGACTTAACGGTCTGGTGTAATAACTGACTCCAGGTTGCATATGAAAGTTACGGTCGTTCAGCACCCGCGCTGTTCAAGGGTGCTATCCTTTCAGCTGCCCGAGGAGGGAGGAGACGGTTTATAATAAGTGAGGTGGCGATCAGAGTTCTTCGCTAACTTGGTTTATCTCAAGGATATTGGGTCGAGGTTCCTCGATGGTTGCTGAACCTTGGTCTGAGTGAGGGATCGCATGCACCAACCTTGGTTGGCTAGGATGTCGCTTCTAAAACCATGTCAGTATTACAGAGCATCTTGCAGCTGAGCAAGTCTAGCTTCTTTGTTAATTCTCTCGTGTCAGGTCAACGCCGGTACAGGTTGTATAGTGTGGCCGACCACAGCGTCCTAGAGAAGCAAGCTGCTGCTTTGGTCCGGATGCGCAAGGCAGTATCTGTTCACCAGAAGAAGCCGCTCTCCTCCTGCGTCGAGTATGTTGTCGCAGTTCCATATCGCAGTGTACCGAACGCTTGATCGCTCGCGGTCACAGTCTATCGCGGTCGCAATCAGGGTCGCAACTGTGGTCGCCCTTCCTTGACCAGCCAGCTTCATGGTTCAAATCAGGCCTTATTATCACCCTGATGAGGGCATCTGCGCGTCTTATCAGTGGTGCTCCTCATCTGGACTGCCTGAGCCTGCTGCATGTTGGTTGCGTTGTCGAGTCCAGGAACTGTTGCCAGCCGCCGCGATTCTGCAAGTGACCGCAAATGCTCCCATCCTGGTGGTACACCTCCGTGTTGTCTGGAAAGCGCGACTCCGGAAGTGCGAAGGCTACTGGTAAGAACTAAATGGAAAGCAGATGTTGGAAGAGTGTCTCTGGGTGTTTCGCGAAGGCGCGGTCGCGAAGAGTGCGAAGGTGAATGATCGGGAGGGAACGTGCCCTGGTCAGCTTGATGAGGTCAGTATGAAGAATGAGCGCAATCAGTCACTGAGGCTGTGCTAATGTATTGCAGAGCTGCTTCCAGCTGCAGACATCAAGAAGCATGGTTGGCAGCATGCTCTGAGAAAGATGGGAAGGTGGTGTTGGGTGTTGGAGCGCGCGACCGAGCGCGTCAGATGAGGTGGTGGGCGGTGAGTGGGAAATCGGCGTTTACAAGCGCCGACCCGAGCCGAAGCGGGCTCTCCAAGTGTGCGAGCATCTTTTGCACCTCTGGACAGCATCGAGTCCATCAGCGAAGCCGTCTTCCAACGCTCCTCGCAGCTGGATCTGCTCAGAAGTCCAATGAGAGAAAGTAGATATCAGTCCGAACCGGCTGACCACCGGACAGAGCTCCAGAGGGGACCATAATGGCCGGCGATTGCTGCTGGGAAAACCAGCTCCGCTTGCACTCGATGACCATCAAGCTGAAGACCAGGGATAGATAACCAATTGGGGGTTCAACCCCCAGCACGCCTCTGTCGTCTAACGCCAGCTTGGATGGCTCCAACCTATCACCACTCACCTACCCCGGAATCATGGCATTAGTTCCACGAACCATTCAGTGGGTCAGGACGCAAGTCACTGCCCACTGCAACATCAAGCCAGATGGATTCATATCTTGCTACGTCGTTCCGGGCGCCATGAGCGTGTTCTGCCTCTTTGCCAGCCTCTTTCTCTACTCGTTCATTGCCGGCCGCTACGACACTCCGCAAACCTCCACCGTCGTTGCGATGGAGGTGCTCCCGCTGAACCAATCCGCTCTGGGCTGGTATGCTCCGGCATCCACGTGGATCAACAACCTCGCAGAAGTGGTTAATGGCACTGGCACCCACGGCTTCATCTTCAACAACACCGAGCCAGACGTCTATGGCGGATACGACTGGTGCAACATGCCGCATGTGCGCACTACGGAATATCCTACGCCAGGCGACGATTACTTGCTGACATATGTCGAAGTAGTGAGTGCATTGCGAGAAGATCTCATCCTTGGTGACATGCTGACTTGGTGAAGATTCATCGTCACCACAAGCGAACGCCGTACCAGGCCAACACATTTCCGAAGGAGAACTACGATTGGTACTGTAGCGACGAGGAACTCTTCTACTACGCAGATCACCTCGGTGGCGGAGGGCGCTCCTCTGCGCAGACCTACTGGCAAGTCGCCTGGGACGAGTCCTACCCGCTCGCACCAGAAGGCTTCAATGGCACTTGTCAATTCCCGCAAATCACTGGAGGCGGCCTCGACGATTCTGCGCAACACGGACTTGACCTGTTCGATGTTTACCATGACCTTCTCAAGTTTCTTCCGAACACCATGAATGGCAGTGTCAAGTATCGCGTCACGAACAACGTCATCACGTCTCAAGTAGCCGGAAAGGTAGTTGGTGCCATGTACTATCCCGCCTGGCCTACGCCGCTTCAGATTCAGCCAGACTCCATCGACAGCTTGGAACCTGCATACTCGTGCCCGGCATCCTCGGACCTTTACAACGCGTACGCTGTCGGCAGCACGAACAGTTCCTGGCTGGCTCACCTCGACGCCTCGCAGCCTCTATTCAACGAACTCGACGCGATCAGCGGTGTGGACAGCGACGACTCTGGCTGGCACCAGTCATGGGATCACTACTTCGACAACCTCTCTGCTCGCCAGTGCCACGACAAGCCGCTGCCTTGCAACGAGAGCCTGCCTGCAAAGAATAATCCGGGCCCATGCGTCAGCCAAGAGCAAGCAGACACTGTCTACCGCCTCGGGCAGTACGAGTACTCCTACCAGTACCGCGATAACCCACAATCGCTTCCTGCCGCTGTCAGCAGTTTCGGCATCTGGTGCGCAGAGCTAGCCGAACACATCCGTGACAGCATCAGCGGTAACAGCAACATCGTCTACCGACACAACGTCGCGCATGACGGCTCCGTCGCAAGGCTACTCTCAATCCTCCAAGTCAACGTCATGGTGTGGCCGGGAATGGGTTCCGAAGTGGTGTTTGAGCTGTACCAGAACCGAAAGACTCAGAACTGGCACATCAGGGTTCTGTGGGGAGGGAAAGTTCTGACGAGCTCGAGTCCTACTCTTGGGCGCATGGACATGCTGGACGTTAGTGTTTTCCTGGCGTATATCGATGGGCTTGTTGGGGTGAAGGCGGCGAAGATACCCGAGTTGTGTGGGCTTGATTGAGCGATCAAGCGTTTCTGACCCACGGGTCTACGGAGTTGGAATTTTGGCTTTGTCAAATAGATTCCGCAAGGCTCTCAACGTACAGTTGAGTAGCTTGATTTCAAATACTAGCGGCTACGATGAGTACATAGTCCAGTGCCGACAACGTTTAGATGATGACAGAGCATCGCTCCTGCTGAGATATTGACGTGCTTTGTGCTCGTTGCAACCTCCTATCCCGCGAATCCTTCCTCGTTCCGTCTTTACTGGAGGTTCTCTGGACTTTGCAGTCATTTTGCCAGAAACTTGGCCGCAACTTCTATAAAGTCCGCATCATCTCCAGATTTTTGACATGCTCGTTCTGTCGCCTACGAATAGAGCAAAACCTGGAGGTATTCACAGATTCCCACATCAATCCCTCAATGACAGTGAATTCCTCGGAAATTTTTCACACTGGACAGTGATAACAAACTTTCGACCTCGAATGCAAACCTCTTCGTTCCCCATCAAAACTCGGTCGTCCTTGCCTCCATCCGTTCGGGAGACACCCCCCTTTCACACTTGTGGTCATTGCAGTGGTCGAGTCCGAGTCCGCGTCCTCTGCTGTCCCCACCCTACCAACACCGCTATGCGCATTGGTGCCACAAAACGAGCCCACAACGCGCTCACTCATGTTTCCAAAACGCGTAAACATATGGTAACAATCTGCATTTCTCTCAGCATGCTCCCTTGCTTGGCTAACTATTCATAATCATTGCAATCCGGGTTGCCACCATGAAATCAACGCATCAGTTGATTGGCCAACGGTCTTATGGTCTAGTGGTATGATTCTCGCTTAGGGATTACCCTGAGTCAATTTGCGAGAGGCCCCGCGTTCGAGTCGCGGTAAGACCCGTTAGTTCTTCTTTTTGCCCTTTTGTTCCCTTTTCTGGGATGGGGTTAGAGAAGGGAGAGGGGCTTTTGCTTTGTTAGTCGTGGGGAAGAGAGGGGCTTTCCTCGTGGGAAGGAATGCGGTTTTTTTTTTAATCGGCAAGAGGAGTGCTATCTCGAGGGCTGCTGCTTCGTCGTTCTGCCATGCTTAAGTTAACATAGCAGCTCGAGTCAATGAGTTAGAGCGAGCCAAACCACAGTAATGCCAACAATCAACGACTCCAAAACCCCTATATCTCGGAGCTGCAAGAGGATATAGCCCTGAAATTACTTTCGTATAGTCAACCAGAGCCCAGGTCACCATCCTAGCAACAAACACCGAATTTACAGCCCCTCCCCGACCCAACATAAAATTATCACTCCAAACCACGCAGAAGTAAACCGTACCATTAGCCAAAACTCCATCCCAACCGCACACACTCCCCGCAACCAGCAGTGGCAGCAGCAGCGGCGTATCCAACAGAAAACAAAACAGCGGCAGCAGCAGCTACCCTTATGCACAAAGCCTCCGTCTCAACAAGTAGATGCACCCATCCAAACAACCCATCCAGTCCATAGAACAGGAAAACATAAACATAAACACAAAACACCCCACCCACCCCTCCGTCCGACTCATGTCCCGAACAGCCCTCATCCGCATGACTCGCCCCACCCACTACACTCCAGCACCAAAGCCTTGCGCTCGAAGCCAGGTGCGCGTGCGCATAGCTGATATCACGGTTGCCTCCCGACTCGTTTTGTCGATGTGCATCAGAGTGACGTATTTCGTAGCTCTGCCTAGGTTTTGTTGTGATTATATGTTAGTCTAGAAACGTTGTTTCCATCATCGGCCCAATGGTCTAGTGGTATGATTCTCGCTTTGGGTTCACCGCCTTATCTGCGAGAGGCCCCGCGTTCGAATCGCGGTTGGGCCCCTGACCTTCTTTTTACTTTTTTTTTTTTGGGGGGGTGGGTGGTTGGTTTGGGGAAAGGGCGGATTTGTCTTTTTATCTTCTCCTTCTTCTTTTGTTTGTTTTGTGTGTGGAGTTGCGGGTTCTTCTTGTGGATGAGCTGGGTGGAACGGATGCATAATCTTGAGATTGTTTAGTCAGGGTTGGATTGCATGCGAGAAACAGATGTAGTGCGCTTCGCGGTTTGTAAATGGTTGAATGGCAGCGCAGCGGTGCAGTGTCTTCCGAACATCCGCCCGCGACAATCATTTCATCCGCCGGATCAGGTAGTCCAAAGCCGCCAGCAAAGCCGCGCAGACAGAAGGAAAGATATAAAATGGTATTACGCTCAAGACCCATCATCCCATCATCCCATCATCAACATCGTAAAAAAGTCATCGTCGTCGTCGAGACCGAACCCACGATTGCAGGTGTGAAACCGTAACCGCCCTAAGTTACCTCCTCCGCTACCTCCCACACACCCCCAGACAAAAGTCGCCGAAATCGCCCCTCGTGGCTTCCTCGACGTCTTCTTCCAGCAGGTCGCCGTACTTGTCTCTGTACTCGATCCGGACGCGGGCGAGGTGCGATCGGTCCCAGTGGAGGCGCACGAGGCGGGAGATGAGGAGTTCGTGGCGGTGCTGGCGGTCGTGTTTGGTGGAGGAGGTGGAGGTGGTGACGGAAGGGTTTTCGATGAGGTCGACGAGGGCGTGGTGGAGGAGCATGGCGTCGCGGGCGGGGCGGTTGATGACGCCGTTGAGGATGTGAGCCACGACCTCGCCCTGGAGCGCGTTAGGTTTCCGCGTGGAGGATGCAGGAAAGGGGGGAGCGAGGAAAGAAAGCATCGACATACCACCAGATTCCCGCTCTTCCGCAACGCCTCCCTCGCGAAATTGCCCCCGTACCGCCGCTCGTACAGCCGCAGACACTCCCGGAGATGGGCGTCGCTGCGGCCGACACAGATGCGTAGAATCTCGCTCTCGCCGCCTTCCCTCCTCCCCACGGCTCTCGCCAGCGCGTCCACATCCCTCTCCCGGTACTCCGCTGGCCACACCTCCTCCTCCTCCTGCCGGTCCCCCTCCAAAACCATCAGAACCGCCGTCCTGAACTTATCGGCGCGCAGCTCCTTCTCCGCGCAGCGGGTCAAGCTGTCGCCATACCGCTTGTCCCTGAACGCGTCCTTGATGGCCGCAATCTCGTAATTCTGCCGGGAGAAGAGTGCTTCGATGAGGAGTTCCCGCTTCGAGGTCTGCGCCTGGTACCAGTAGTTCGCCCAGTACGCCTCGCTCTCCCACCTCCCCAGCGCGGTCACGTACACGATTTTGCCGAAATGCGTGCTGGTGGGTAGCTTGAGTTTGAGGTGTTTGGCGATGTTGATGCCGCGGCCGTGGATCTTGCAGAGGCGCTTGTAGGCGGCGCGGAGGTCGAGCATTTGGTCGTGTGTTAGGTGGGGGAGGATGTCGATTAGGACGGCTGTGTCTGGGTTGGAGGAGGAAGAGAGCGCCTTTACAATGTCGGAGGCGTCTTGCTCGCCGTCGTAGATCTTTACGCGTTTGGAGCCGGCTTTTTGGACGTCTTTTTCCCGCTGGGATTTGGAGGTGGAGAGGGTGATGCTGGATGAGGAGGCCGAGTGGCTGTGGCCTTTGCCGCGGGAAGCGTTGGATGAGCTGCGGCGCCGTACATGGCCCTTTTTAGAGCTGCGTCGGTCGTCGGCTGTGAGGCGTGGCTCCAGCGGTGGCAGGTCGTCCAAGTCGGCGTCGCCGTGTGGTAGCATCATCGGGCTCGGCATCGGACTCAACGATTGATATGTCCCGTGATATGCCTCGAGTAAGGGACTCGGGGGAGGTAGGTTCCCGCCTGGAAGGCCTCCGGGCATGATGTTATGCAAGTCAGGCCTATTCCCACTAACTGACAGCCTGTCCATACGCGGTGCCAAACCAGGCGATGGCGCGCGGAGATCAGCTCTAGGAGTGTGGATAGATAGACGCGGATGAAGTCCTGGCGATGGCGGCGCACCCAGATTCCCTCCTCCACTGGGCTTCATCTCAACAACCCTAGCGTTGTCCTGCCCATACGCAAGATACGGATCGTACTTTTCCTCCTTCTCCTTCTTCTGCTTGGGCGGCGGCGGCGGCGGCGGCGCGAACATGGCTGCCTCTGGCATCTCCATCGCCCCAGGTCGAGGCATACTATGCGCAGCCTTAGACGGCGGTGGGGGTGCCGCAGTCTGCGCTGTCACCGGTCGCGCCGTGTACTTGAGTCCATCTGGCTGCGCATACTGGAACTGCCCTGCCTGGGTATACGACCCTCCAGACATGTTCCTGACGGGCGACTGCGGCGTCGCGTTACTGTTGACAGGCGTCGCCGAATATGACCACTGCGGCTGTTGTTGCGCATACTGCCCGCTGGCCTGCCTCCCGTGTTGCACGTACCCGGGCCGCTCGTTGGGCGGCAGATCCGTATACCCGCCCATGGTGATGCCCTGCTGCCCCATTGCCATCTCTTGCGCCATCATGCCGCCAGAACCCAGACTCGGACTCGGTGTCCGCTGGTATCGAGGCTCGGCGGTGGTTGCAGCAGCAGCAGCACCACCGCCTCCCAACAGCGCACCGGGCGTTATATAGCTCGACAGCCCCGGGGCCTGCTGGAACGGCTGGCGCACCTCGTACTGCGGGGTTGCAGACGTGACGTGTGGTTGCGCAAAGCTGGGCTGATAGCTGCTGGGGTCGTTGGGGAATGCTGGGCCGCGCGGGATGGGAGCTCCTGCTGCGGCGTCAGACCGCGAGCGCGATCGGCTGCGGCCTGGGGACTTGCTGCGCGAGCGGGAGGACCGGTGGTCATCGGGCCGGAGAGACATTGTGGTGGATTGATTATGGTGGTGATAGGTCGGGACGGGACGAGGCTGTATGTATGCTGCCTCTGCAGTTGCTGCAATGACGGCGCGTGTCAGCAGCTTGCAGTTGCAGTCAGTGACCTCGACTGGACTGGACTGATGCACTGGAGAGAGAGAGATGGGGACGACGACTCGAGGTCCGGCTCTCCTGAGTTCAGTCAGCCAGCGAGGCGTGAGGATATGGCAGCGCTCGAAATGGCGATGGCTGGGCTGACTCTGAGAGGCGCGTTGCGGCGCATTTGGCCCCCGTCAGTGGCATGCTGTCGTCTGCCCGGAGAGAGAGAGAGAGAGAGGACATGCAGAATGAATGATGAGCACCTGACGAGGACATCTCAGGCAAGGCCTCGAACGCGTGACAGGACGGCCAGGCCGACGACCGCAGCAGCACTCACTGGTGAGGTTGACCAGCACCCGCGCCCACGCCTCCACCAGCACCGGTTGACGAGACACCCACCCACTCACCACCCACCGACAATGCCCGAATCGGCCCTCCCTCGCCCACAACGCGGACCCACCAGCAACGACCCCGAACATCATCAAATCCTCCACGCCCATCCATGCAATCAGTGCCCTGTGCAGCCCGCCTCTTATTACCCCACGACATCTCCGACTGCTGCCGATTCCAGCTTCCCGTTGCCCGCCCGCAAGCCCGCATCCCCAGCCCAGCGAACCGCCGAAAACGCCGGCTCGGTCAACATTACGGAGCAGAAGCAGACAGCCGCCGTGCGCGGCCTCTATGCTGCTCTCCGCTGGCGGCGGCCGGGAAGATGCGGACGCGATCGCGAGGACGGCATATGGCGGATCTGATGATGGATCTGGTCCGTAGGGATGATGTTGAACTACGGGTCGTCGTTCGCGCCTTGCTGGTGTGCAATATGTGCAGTGCTCATCACGCCGTCCACGGCCAGCCCACCCAGTCCTTGCGGTGAATCAGGACCCTGAATCGGCCACCTCAGCCAGCTGTCGACGAAAGAAAAGCGGCTTATGTGAGCTTTAGGGCGGTGTCGACTCAGGCTCATCGATTGAGGGCCCAGGAAAAGAGCCCGAGTAGGGGAGGGTGGGTAGACGAGAGGCCTAATAATAAAAGCTGAAGAAACGCCCGCTCCAGCCCAGACCAGTGTTTGGTTCTCACTCTTGTAGCTCGTTGCCTTTGTTCCGGTTGCAGCCAAGCCTTTTTTCTTCGTGCGAGCGTGAGACGCCCGCCGGACCTGGATTCGGGGAGCATTCCAGTGAAGCCAAAACTTATTTTTGTGTTTAAAGCTTCGAGGTTCCTGCTGCTGCTGCTGCTGCTGCTGCTGCTGCTGCTGTTGCTGCTCCTCTGTCCTCCTTGTCTGCCTCTCGCATGCTCGATTGCTGCGTTGTCCACAGAATACCTTTCCAACGTTGTTGTACCTGCTACGCATAACCACCACCCACCATGCCACTCTCCTTTCTCTCCCTCCCCGGCGAAATCCGCAACCGCATCTACTACTTCGCGTTGACGACCTCCTACCCCATAATCGACCCCTCCACCGGCCACGACAAAGACACCGTCATCCATTCGCCGCACCACTCCATCCCGCCCCTCGGCACCAGCATCCTGCGCGCCAACAAGCTCATCCACGCCGAAGCCCCCGTCGCCTACCTCTACACCCACAACACATTCCGCTTCACCTCCGTCACCCACATCCACAAGTTCATGAAGCTCTTGCCGCCATTCCTCAGCACAATGGTGCGCGACGTCGAGATCGACGTCCGCGACGTCAATGTCAGACACCCCGACATCAACCGAGATTGGGCCCAATATCTGTCCTGGAGTGCTGGGGTGTGGGCCCAGAAGCTGGGCAGTCTGCGCTACGACGCGCCGAATTTGCGGGTGCTGAGGCTCAATTTCGAGAGCTGGCCCAGGATCGAGGTGACGAGGAGGCATTTGTGGGATATTCTGAGGCGCTTGTTGGGGAATGTGGATGGGATGGAGAGGGTTGTGTTGACGGGGACGTATGCCAAGGGCACGGCGATGGAGAAGAGGGAGCCTTGGGACCCGGTTTACTTCGTTGGCACGGACGAGGTTGTGACGGACGATGTCGTGGATAAGATGTGGGCGACTGTGGTTGGCGACGAGCCGAGCGACAAGATTATCCGCTGGGAAAGAGAACAGGGTCGCATATCGCTCGAAGTCGTTTCCCGAAAAAACCTCAGCCGCGCCAGTCAAGCTGGTCTGAAGTTTGTCAAACGTCAAAAGGCGACTGAGGCATGGCCTGCCGACGGCGCTTGCGTGCTGGACGAGTACCTCCAACGCAAGAACCCCCTGTGGTTCGCCTGCACCTCGCGACGCATCAATCCCATCGCCTTCGTATGACGGGCCTAGCCGGATCCCATGGACCGTGGATTTCGTTCTTGTACTTTTGCAGTCCAATCAACCACCAGCTGCAGAGGCCCATGACGAGACCCGTCAAGATACCGCCAAGCACGATGCCGAGGAGAGCCGCTTTCCATCCGCCGCCGGAGATGGTGACGCCGACGCCGCCGCCGGCGCCCATGACGAGGAAGATGGTCAGAGTGAGATGGCCGTGCCAGGTGATGTGGCGGAGATGTCGACGGAAGACGGGGAAGAGACCGAAGACTTCGATGGAGAAGAGGGTGAGGGAGAAGACGTGGGTGGTGGAGTCGAGGCGAGAGGCGAGCACCGTTGATGCCATTAGCGCGGCGTTCGTCGATAGAGAGGCCGGGAATCTTGTGCTGGTTTTGTGTTAACTTTAATGTATACCCTTAGACGCAGAAGAGATAGATTCAGAGGCCTTCAATGGCATGATATAGTAATAGAGTGAACTTACTTCGCGCCCACGGCACCTCCGTAGTCGAAGAAGAAGACGTTGATACACATCAGCCATGTGCTCATTGCCCAGATCGAATCGCTCGTCGTCGACTTGGTCAATGACTTGAGAATCGGACTCAACCCCAATAGCGCGCAGTAGATGAGGATAGCCGACTTGAGCGTAGCCAGGCGCTGCTGGTTTCGCGGCGACAACGAGGACACCGGCTCCCCATAGGGAGGATGATACGTTGCGAACGTCGGCGCTCCCGTGGGATGGCCCGTCGACACCGCAGACACGACCGACGAGTTCGACACCTGCGAAGCCAGACTCGCGCTATGCGAATGTCCCTTTCGCGGTGCCGAACTTGCATTTGGCAGCAACAAGCCCAAGCCCAGTCCAGCATCTTTGCCCTGCGCCGGCGCCGTCGTCGTCACCGCCGCCGCAGCAGTCGAGCTCCCAGAACTGATACTCGACTCATCCTCCGGGACCTCGTTCCTCGCCTCAGCCTCCTTGGCCGCCATCGCGGCAGCTTCCTCCTGCCCGACCCAGAAATCCCAAAGCACCCATCCGAGCACCGTGCCTAGGCTACCCCAACTCACGACCGCGACGGGGGAAACGCGCTCCTGGACGATGCCGGTGAAGCAGCAGACAAAAATGGTGACGGAGCAGACGTGCTGGACAATGACTGTGGAGTCTGCGACGAGAGGCCAGAACTCGTAGGGCTGGAGGCGGGGGTTACGTTGGAGGTGGTCTAGGAACGTTTCCTCGTCGGTGTAGTTGTCGGGGTCTACGCAGATAGAATGGAGAAACCAGTCAGCCTTCCACAGTCCGATATCAATGCTTCTAGATATGCATGGCGCCGCGATGATGCAAACACCAAGCATGGAAGCAAAACATACAAGCCTGCTTGACCCAAAGCAACTTCTTCCACGCCCCCTTCCTCCTCCTACTCCCACTCCTTCCCCTCTCCCTCTCCCTCTTCCTCCTCGTCTCAATGCCCGACAATATCCGTCCAGCTGCGTCGACCGTGTCTTCAGCTTCCGCTGTTAGCTCTGCGACGCCGGGAGGAGAGTGTTGTTGGCGCCGACGCGGGGGCGAGTGCGCGTAGAAGGCATCTTCGGGCGCGAGACGCGAGGGGTCGGAGCGGTTTGGTGGACGGGGTCGGGTTGAAGGTGCGGGAGGTGCCTTTAGGGCGTGCGGGGCGAGGGTGGTGGTGGTGGTGGTGGTCGCATCGTCCATTAAGTTGAGGGTGGGAGGTGGAGGATCACGATTATGACGTTGGGGAGGATTGGGGTGGTGGTTTTGGAGCTGCGACGGTGAGCAGGGCCGTGCAATAAATTTTGCTAAACATATTGCAAAATGCTGATTTATTTTTCATCAATTCATCCAGGTCTTATGGTCTAGTGGTATGATTCTCGCTTAGGGATCACCCTGAGTCAATTTGCGAGAGGCCCCGCGTTCGAGTCGCGGTAAGACCCTGAGATATTGTTTTGACCTTTGGTTGTCTTCTTTTTGGCTGCCTCTTATGCGTTCGCTCTCACTGGCTCTGGAATTCAGCTTGCTTTTTAGTCTATCACTTGAACAAGCATGAATTGGAACTTCACGTTGATGAGATGACCTTAGAGCAGACCCACCATAAACGACACAGGAACAATGTTCCGGTGATGAATCTTTCGTTCAATTCAAGGTAACCTGGAATGCGGTCATTTCACAAAGCTTCCAGTTCATACCGTACTACGTATCGAGAGTGTACATCCCCAGACTTGTAGAGTTCAAGAGCCAATGCCAGGCTTGTTTTAACTGCAGTGATTCGACCAACACCCTTTTCGAAACTTCGGATACTCCAAGGTTTGCGCTTTAGGCTATCCAGCTCCTGTATCCCATGTGCGCGCATCCCACGTCACTATATTGCGCACGAATTGCATCCAGTACTTGAACGCAAAGCCCGCTGGTCATGCAGGTCCAAATATGCACGTCGAACAAGTTCAACCGGCGAGTACTCCACCTACACCAGCTTCAACGAAAACCCCGCCCCTCCCTCTTCCCTCCCCGCCCCAAACAGCCCACTGAAATCCACCTCTCCACCCCCACCCAGCCCAGGAGCCTCCCCTCTCACCGGCGCATTCGGACTCGCCCTTCTCCTCTTCTCCTGGCCCGCCTTACTCGGGAACGTAGGGAACATGGCTTTATGCTTCGGTCTAGGATCCTCCTTGAAGTAGGCGTTTGTCAGCACTTCTTTTGCTGAAGGACGCCACGACGGGTCGAGCGCGAGGAGGGAGGTGAGCAGTGACGAGCCGGCGGAGGTGAGGATGGGGAACTTGGAGCGGATGACGGAGCCGGCGGCGGCGGGGTTGGCCGGGAGGCGGAGTGATTTGGCGTTGGGGAGGCGGCGGAAGCCGGGCCAGGTTTCGTTGGTGGGGATGCCGCAGAGTTCGAAGATCTGGGGGTGTTAGAAGGATGGATGGGAGGGAGGGATGGCGGTACGTGGGGAGCGAGGATACCTTTGAGAGTTCGTCGACTTCGTTTTTGCCTTGGAGTAGAGGCTCTTTGGTGAGGAGCTCTCCGAAGATGCAGCCGATACTCCACATGTCGACGGCTCGACCGTACTCCTTGGCACCTAGTAGTAGTTCTGGGGCCCGATACCATAGGGTGACTACTAATTGGGTCATGTTTGGTGGTGGAGGGTCCCCAAAGTAGCGCGCCATGCCGAAATCTGCGATTTTTATCTCGCCGCGGTTGTTCATGAGGATCTAGTTGTTTATAATGTTAGGTCGCAATTGGGACTTGTTCGGTGGACATTGTCCTTACGTTGGAGGTCTTGAGGTCGCGCTGTGATCGATCGTGGTCAGCAAAGCTCCATTCATGCGAGTAGTAACGATACATACATGTAGAATCCAATTATCATGCAAAAAGCCTACCGCATCCACCAACTGCAGCATCAGCGTCTTAACCTCGCTGGGCAAGAAAGGCTCGCTCATCTCTTCATTCAGCGTCTTCAGATCATGCTCCAAAAAGTCCATGACCAGAAACACGTCATTCAGAGTATCTCCCACAACCACCTCCCTTAGATCCACAATATGCCGGTGCCGCGCTTCCTTCAGCGTTTGTATCTCCCGCAGCGCAGTAACGGGGAAACCCTCGGTCGACCCCTCCATCTTGAGTTTCTTCAGCGCGACAATCTCGCCCGTAGCCGTCTCCTTCGCCCGCGATACCCATCCATATGAGCCCTCCTCAATATGGTTCAGCCGTTCGAAGTTGTCTACGCGCCGACAAGGTCCCCATTCCGGCGCCGCGAACCTGAGAAGCTTCCTCTTTGGCTGGTGCGCATTTTCATCTCCGGGAGGCTGCGATCCCGAAAGTTTTCGTCTCTTGGATGGGCGATTGGCTTCTTCCGCGGCTTGTTGTTGCTGCAGCTGTTTCTGGCGCTCCGCTTCCTCGAGCTTGCGCTGCTTCTCCTGCTTCGCCCGCTTTTTCTCCTCCTTTTCGCGCTTGCGCTGGGCTTCGAAAGCAGCGTCCTCCTCGTCGTTTGCCCAGCGCGATTTGCTGCTCATCGTAGGTGGTTGGGAAAGGGTCGTGAGGTTTTTGGGTCGGACGGTGGTTGGTGGTTGGAGCTTCCCGGCTGTCTGAGCTTCGGGGAATTTCGTCACCTCCGAGATTCTGGTTGCGACACCACCGAGCTCCACCCACAATGCGCGCTGCGGTGAGATTCTCGGGGAGAGCGCTACTCCGCCAGAAAGCGCCGAGACGGGCATTCGAGGGCGTGAGATGGAGCTCGACGAAGGATAGGCAATGGTCGACGCCATTGGCTAAAGGGTTAACTCAGATCATCACGGTATGCAATGAGCAGATGGCCCGGACTGAACTTCGAATGCTGATATAACTTATCGCAGGCAACAGGGCCGGTCCCAGTAGCTGCTTACATGCGGCAATGCCTCACCTCGCCCGATGGTGGTTATTACACGACGCGCAGCGAAAGCGGCGATCAATTCGGCAAGAAAGGTGACTTCATAACGTCTCCGGAAATATCGCAAATATTCGGTGAGCTGGTAGGTATCTGGATCGTTGCGGAATGGGTTGCTCAAGGAAGAAAGAGCTCGGGTGTGCAATTAGTCGAAGTTGGGCCGGGTAGAGGAACTTTGATGGATGATATGCTACGGGTAACAATCCACTTCCTACTCTTGTTGACTTTTGGGCAAAAGGCTGAGTATAGATACAGACTATCCGGAACTTCAAGCCTTTGGCACAAGCCATTGATGCAATATACCTGGTTGAAGCTAGTGCTTCTCTCCGGGAAACGCAAAAGCGTCTACTCTGTGGCGATGAGGCACCTATGAAGGAAACGGAATTAGGATTCGAGAGTAGCTCAAAATATGATGGTCTGAAGGTTATTTGGGTTGAGGACATCAGGTTCATTCCGAAAGGTATCCAAGCTGTTCTCCGGTCATGTCGTCAACCACTGATAAACGTCCAGAGAATACGACAAGTCCGTTCATTGTCGCCCACGAATTCTTTGACGCCCTCCCAATACACATATTCCAATGCGTTGTACCTACGGAGTCCGCAGCCAAGCCGGCTCTTCCTAACGTACCACAAAGTAAAGAATCGCAACCTGCTCAACCACGTCGTCTTACAAAAGCCCCCGAATGGCGTGAACTCCTCGTGTCCCCCGTGCCTCCCCCAGCCAGCTCACCCTCGGAACCCCATGACATGATGGATCCGCCGCCGGACTTCCAGCTCACCCTTTCCAAAGGCCCAACACCGCATAGCATGTACCTTCCGCTCACCTCCCCACGCTACACAGCAATCCAATCCACTCCCGACGCTGTCATCGAAATCTCGCCAGAGTCTCTCGCTCACGCTGCCGACTTCGCCGTCCGGATCGGCGGCGCCCCAGCCACATCCACATCTCCACGACCCAGCAATTCCAAACCGCCTCCGCCGCCGAAACTATCCCAACTACCACCCGGCGCACCTCTTCCACCAAGCACGAAAGTCGAACCCAGCGGCGCGGCCCTCATCCTCGACTACGGCCCTTCCAAAACTATCCCAACGAACTCACTCCGTGGGATCCGGAATCACCAACCTGTCAGCCCGTTGGCCATGCCCGGCGCCGTTGATATCAGCGCAGATGTCGATTTTCTGGCATTGGCGGAATCAGCTATTAACGCTTCACCGGGCGTTGAGGTGCATGGGCCTGTGGAGCAGGCGAGGTGGTTGGAGGGTATGGGGATCAGGGAGAGAGCTATGCAGTTGCTGCAACAGGCGGATGGTAAAGATGGGATGGAAGAGTTTAGGAATAGGATTGAGGGCGGTTGGAAGAGGTTGGTGGATCGGGGTCCGAATGGTATGGGGAGGCTTTATAAGGTATTGGCAATTGTGCCGCATGTGCCTGGGAGGGCAACGAGGAGGCCGGTGGGATTTGGAGGGGATGTCAAGGTTTAGTATTAGAATTTGTACTGCTTGGGTTAATCGTGTGATCAGTCGCTTTTGGGACTTGTGACGGGTTGCAGACAGCGAGCGATTGCTATGTCGCAGGTGGTCAGATCAAATGTGTTCGCGACCTTTCAGAGCCTCTATACAAAGGTTAAGCAAGAGCTCTTTCCGATTGACTTGTCTACAGTCATCGAAGCTCAAGGCTCGACGTCGGCGCCGGCGCCGGGCATACTATTCGATTCACATCGACTTGCTATCTTTTCTACTACGAACACCCGGGTAAAATCAATGACAACGACCATCACATATACTAGTGAAAGACCTGTATTGTAAAGTAGGAACCTAACCCTAACATTCTAGGTCTATCCCTATCATGTCTACTAGGATAACCACTAGACGCTAAGAATCCGTTATCGAGATGCTCCTATCCTGGAAAATCATCTTCAAATCATATGCTTCGCTCAGATACTGATCAGCAGTATTAGCTGACGGAGGTACGCGTTATCATAGAGGTATGGAAAATATCCAGTCAATGTCCTCGAGCGATCTGAAGGACCACCAAAACCGACTTTATAGGAAGCGTGTTTTGTTTCTCTGTCACCGACTTTGAGCGTGCGGTTGGCTTCTAGATTAAGAGAGATTGACTACGCCTATACTGAGCGTCTTATACTTCCACGTCTTCAAAATCCTGCCACTACTCAGCTGACTTCACATTTAGACAGCCGTAGAGGTCACGAGCTCCAGATCCTGCATGCTGAACATATTTACGCCTGTCTTGTTTGACGTAATTTACTAGTTTCTGCGGTTAGTGGAATCAAAAGTACTTAGGAGGCTAGAGCTAAACCGTCGATAAATAAGAAGTAGACACCGTACTACTCGTACTACTCTAAGTTAACTCTAGCTTTGGCAGCAACATTCTTAATGATCCCAATCTATTCATGAAGCGGCTTCAGAAAGAGAGTTGAAGCACGATCACCTCATATCAACGGCGTCTGAGAACTAGTCTAGCCGTTGTTTTCCTCAACGACACTTAACTTACAACAAT